CCTGCATAGGACTTCAATATCAAGGATGACCATAAATTTGTAAGTAATTCTCTCACTTTCTTCACCCAAATAAATCATACATCCATTCATATAGCTATGGATTTGTCAAACCGGTATAATTATCAACGAGCACCAATTTTTTCATAAGTTGACATAAGTTATCGTAACACCTCTTTGAAAAATGATATTCGGACTTCGGGTGTAACAAATGTGTCAATGCAAATAACCGAGTGGTTTTCTAAAGTAAACTAGATCTCTCTATTGGATGCATTCAACAAATCATAAAATGCTCGAGCTTCAAGATTTGATACTTCATCGATGTTAGACGAATTAAATGATGGATCGGTTGCATCCATTATCATTATATGATATGGATTGGTAGGAAGTTCAATGAATATTTGTTGAGCTTTAATAAAATTTCTCTGGTTATCACCATAAACCACCGACTCACTTTCTCAATGATGTCTCCACACATAATACCTAGACATAAAACTATATCTCATCCAATGGTACTTAACTTTATTAGGATCTTCATAATATGGTTACGATACCTTTTGATTTTACAAGCTTATTTTTATTCATATACTCGGGATGACAAATCGCAACATCAAAAAATTCATTTACTATATCTATGAAACCTTAATTTAAAAGACCATTAGTATATCTATAATCAATCCATGAATTATTCAAATTCATATTATGTTAACATATAAATAACTTAATTAACACATAATTAATTTTTTAAAAAAATATTTACAAAATTAAATTAAAAAATAATAAACTTAAATTAACAACTAAATAACTAACTTAAAACCAATTAATTAAACTAACACCTAATTAAATTTTTTAAACAATTAAATAATTTAATTAACAACAAATTAATTTAATTTAATTAAAAAATAAATAACTTAATTAACACATAATTAATTAAAAGAACACCTAATTAAATTTTTTAAAATAATATTTTAATTAACAACTAATTGACTTAATTTAACAAATAAGAAACTTAATTAACAACCAAACTCGATTAAACTAATACCTAATTAATTTTTTTATGTACGATTTAATTAATTTAATTAACAACTAATTGACTTATTTTAACAACTAAAAAACTTAATTTAGAAACCAAATTAATTAAAATAACATCTTATTAATTTTTGTAAATAATATTTATGTAATAAAATTAACAAATAATTAACTTATTATAACAAATAAATAACCTAACTAACACCTATTTAATTAAACTAACACCTAATTAAATTTTAAAATAATATTTAAGTAATTAAATTAAAAACTAATAAAATAAATTAATTAAAACCAATTAGTTAACTAATACCTACATAAATTTTTTAAACAATTAATTAATTTCTTTAACAACTAATTAAGTTGATTTAATTAACAACTAAATAGCTTAATTAACAAATAATTAATTCCAAGAACACGATTAATTTTTTAAAAAAATATTTTAATATTTTAATTAACAACTAATTGACTTAATTTAACAAATAAAAAACTTAATTAACAACCAAATTGATTAAACTAACACATAATTAAATTTTTAAAAAACATTTAATTAATGTAATTAACAATGAATTTACTTATTTTGACATCTAAAAAACCTAATTAACAACCAAATTGATTAAACTAACACCTAATTAATTTTTTTAATAATATTTAATTAATTTAATTAACAACTAATTTTCTTATTTTAACAACTAAAAAACTTAATTAAAAACCAAATTGATTCAACTAACACATAATTAAATTTTTTAAATAATATTTAATTAATTTAAATAAAAAATAATTTATTTACTTTAACTATTAAAAAACTTAATTAACAACCAAATTGATTAAAATAATACATAATTAATTTTTTTAAATAATATTTAATTAATTTAATTAACAACTAATTTACTTATTTTAACAACTAAGAAACTTAATTAACAACCAAATTAATTAAACTAACACCTACTTAATTTTTAAAAAAATATTTAATTAATTAAATTAAAAAATAATTAACTTATTTTAACACACAAATAACTTAATTAATACTCAATTAATTTTTTAAACAATTAAATAATTTAATTAACAATAAATTAATTTAATTTAATTGATAAGTAAATCACTTAATTAACACATAATTAATTAAACTAAAACCTAATAATTTTTTGAAACAATTAAGTTAATTAATTAACAACAAATAAACTTAATTTAATTAACAACTAAATCACTTAATTAATGCATAATTAAATAAACTAACATGTAATTAATTTTTTAACAAATAATTAATTTAATTAATAACTAACAAATTAACTCTAACAACAAAATAAATTAAACTAATTAATAAATAATAAATAAATAAGTAAACAACCAATATAAAATTATTGAAATAAATGGCAAAAATGAGTTACCAATTACATAAATGGAGGAGGGGCTACCGCCAACTCACGGTGAAGAGGAGGAGGAGCTATTGCTGCCAACTATTCATGGAGAAGAGGTGGAAAGGCACGAGGAGAAGGAAAGGAGAGAAAGAAGAAGAAAATGGAGGAGGTAAAGGGAAGAGATGGAGGGGAAGAAGAAAAGAAGAGAGAATGAACATTTAGAGGAGCTCGTTGGCATCAATGGAGGAAAATTAGGATAGTGGTGCTACCGAAAATGAAGAAGAGAGAAGAGAAGAAGAAGAAATAAAGTAAAATCGGGTGGTAGGCAATTTAGGGATTTTTCTTAATGATGGTTTTTGTGATCCGTTGCAAAAAAACCTCATTGGTGTCAATGGGAATTTAACGATAATTTTTTGAAAACTATCGTTAAAATCCCTCGAAAATGAGGGTTTTTAGCGACGGTATTTGAAGTTTGGTAGAATTAGAGACGGTCATATCGGGCCATCGATAATAACCTATTTTTGGGATTTAGCAACGATCTTCTATAACCGTCACTAAATCTAAAAAAAAAAAAAAAAAGATTTTTTTAGTGATGGTTTAATAAAAATCGCTAAAAACTCCAAACTTTATTCGAAGCTACGATGTTTTTAAAGCTGTCGCTAAAAACTAACATTTGAAACAAAATTAGTTACGGTTTATTCAAAAATGCCGCTAATTCATGGGTTTAGTGATGGAATCTAATACCATTGCTAAAAAACAATCACAAAATCTCTGTTTTCTTATGATGAAATTTGTTATCTTTTACCTTTTTCATAGTACGTACCTCCTACGGAAAAGAAACATTTATACTTTTTTTTATATACAATATCATTCGGAATATGGTAACCATATATAGTTGGAGGTTAATTAGGCTCTTATTATAATTTTATAAGTTAGTGGTATCTCTTGGTCATTAAGACATATGTAGGATTTAGGAATAGACAAAATAAGTTAATTGATAATACTTGGGCTGTAATTAACCGAATAAAAAGCGGTACAACACCATGCATGTCTGAATCAATGGTACGTAAAAGGTTGATATGTTATGATATGTGCTGGAGAATATCTTGATGTAATTGCATATTATTGGATTTTTTTTTTTTTTTTTTTTTTTTTTTTTTGAGAACGAATAGAAATAAAGTTCAAATATAATATACACACAAGCCAAAAATACACATACAAGCAAAGGTAAAAAGATAATGGAGTAATTAACACCATTCTCACAAAAACTAATAATAATATACTTAAGCTAAAAGTATGTACACTAATTCAAAAGGCAGACCTGGCGATTTGATACTTCTTTCAACTTTCTTAAGTTTGAATATTGAGAACAACTGATAAATAGAGAATTTAACTTCGATTTAAGAATCGAATTGATTTGAAAATATCTCCGGGAAAAAAAAAGGTATATTCAACAGCAAAAGGCCTTATCCCCTAAAACACACAACGAATATGGAAAATTGACCCAACGAAACAAAAGAAAAAAAGGGCTTAGAAAAATGGATTCATCAGCGAGTGAGCTTATCTAAAGCTAGAACAGGCTCAATGACAAGGACCATTTAGAGTTGGTAAGGGACCCACTTAACCCACCCAGCAATAGGGGACCCGTACAACTGGTCTTAAAGCAGTAAAAGGCTTGAGGCCCAATAAGAGAATTTAACGAGGTGAATCGGGTGATAGCATTCATTCCTATTAGTTCGTTTTAGTTAGGGCTTTAAATTGCTTGCCAGGAAGAATCACCGGGGGATAACCTAGTTCCAGTCCCAGGGCTTCCAACTCTTTTTTTTTTTTTTTTAAGGAGCTACAAGGAATAGATTTGAATTTGGGAGTTCTCTAGAGAGAGAGAGAGAGATGGATGCCAGTAGTTGAGCTATATATTTATTGGCGTTGAGGAAAGTTACCTTAGTGTAATTTTCATCCAGTGGCATACCCCTAGCTTGCTAGCTACTTCCAAAATGTAGATTTTATTTGTGCAATCAACATATGAGAGTCATTATTGTTTTTCCTTTTCTAAAAAATTATTAACAAGCATTATTAATTCATAATGTGGAGGGCAGTAGGTTTACATATAAATCATGTCCACCACCAACCCCCTCCCCCCCCCCCCCCCCCCCCCCCATTTAGAGGGGGTCAACGTTTGCAGTCTTGCCGCATTTTTTGCTAAGTTTTGATGCAGTAGCCCAAGTAAAAGATCAATGTAATCAATCTTTTGTACTTTTGAAGCTTTGAATTGGTTTGGCACTTCTCATTAATCCCTAGGTTGTTGATCGAGAAAATACAGATTATTTGGTGAAAACAACCTTGCAAGTGAAAATAGAAAATAGTATAGCTAGGCAACAAAGTTGAGAAGGAGATGATATAGAGGATAAAATGTTCACCCTGTTAAGGACATGAATCTACAACCTTATATGTAAGATATATTAGGTCTCTCCATCTATTACATGATCTGTACCTGGTTTGTTAGCAAGTAGAAGTACTGTAATCCAAAGGATACAGTGACAGCTATATCAACATAAAGTAAGCACATCCTTCTTTGCAGTCCCCTCCCCCAGTTGAAACAGATTAGATGGATTGATTTGTCTACCTCTTGCGCTTGGACTTCAAAGATGTCACTGATTGAGAGTTGCTGTGCCAGTTCCTCTTCCTTTGGTTGATGAACCAATTGTTGATCTGCTTTAGTTGCAACCCTGTCTCCTCCACAAGTTTTGCCTTGTCATCTTCCTGAAAATCATCATATAGACATGCCCTTATTGATAAATTAAAGTTTTCAATTCAAAGCTTATGATATTATCTCTCAATAGGGAAAAAAAAAGAAAGAAGTTTTCATGACAATGTATTATGTATTATGCACTCTAGCATCAGTTTATGTGTCTAATTATTTGTTTTGGTAAAAGCCAACAAATTTTCTAATATGGGATGGCATTAATGTAGATATGTTAAATGTTTTGAACTGTGAAGTTGGGTCATTGGCTTACAGTTGGGTAAGGCCACTTGGAGTGTTGCTGCCACCAATTTTTCAGCACTGAAGTAGTGTCACCTGGTAGTTTTCCAGCTCTTCTTTTTCTCAATATCTCCTCCCTGACATCTTCGATTCTTGATTTGAAACCCTGCAAAGGAAAAATGTGTTTAACTTTATTTGTTTTGGTTTTGACGTATAAAAGGTCTACTTTTTTCTTCTTTTTTTTTTTTTGTGTTCGTTAAATCAGCTTAATTTCAACCTTTAGAATTCTACAACAATTTTCTGAACGCACCTGCTTTAGTTCAATCTTCAATTCCTGCCGAACTCTCTCCATCAAGGACCTTTCAGATTCTGTAGGAAGCAGAGGTCCAAATCCCATCATGTCATGTCCATCAGCACTTGATTGATCTAAAGAGAAATCCATTTGCAGGTCATCTTCATCGTCAGACATGGTTGCACCCGCACCTTCTCCTAGAGTCATACCTGAAAGAGATTTATGTAAATAATCCATCCATCTTGAAGGACTGCATGCTAGAAGGAACTAGGTAATTAAAACTATCTGGATCCATGAACCACCCATTCATTGCTATAATTTAGTAGTATTTTCTGTAAAAAAAACAACCCACGCAATGAATAGTTTAGCCCTATACTGCCTGAGCCTAGCAAGAGAATGCGCGCAGCGACTCAGAATAATAGAAGGATATGATTCCAACAGACTGCATGAATGGTTTACTCAGAAGGAACTAGCCACACGTCTCAAAGGAAGGAAAGTGGGGCATAATTTTTTGTTTTCTTTTTTTTTAGTATATCTCAATCAAAGGATAAGTTAAATCCCAGAAAATGAAAGTTCCATGTTCAAATAGTGACATGTATCAAAAGAAAATGTACAAAATATATTCTCATGATTTAAACACATGGGACATCATTGTTTAAGGTCAACTTAATCAAAGGCATGCAGGAATTAGATGAGGTTAAATCATCTTTACATTCATAACTAACAGTAAAGTTGAACTCAAAAACTCTTCTCAATTCATTGGTGTTTTCTTGCTATTCAATGAATAAAATAGGCTTGAATTCAACATTTCGGTGATGGATCACTCTAGGTTGGATCATGTACAACCTAGCTAGAGTTGAGTGCTTACTCAACCCTAGGTCTAACCAAAATCTTTCTTCAAACATGTTATCTTACATATAACATCCGTGGCAAATTATTTTCAGCGATGAATCAGGGAGATATCAAACAATGGATAGCACTAGTGAACCAGTAATATAAAACGTAAAATCATTCAATATTGCACACACATGTACATAAATTAACTGGATCCAATTATTTGATGTATCAGAAATCTCATCTTTTAACAAATATATCTTGAAATAGATTTCTGTACAAGTACCATTTTCCTAAGCCAAAACAAGTTGCATTCATTATCAATATAATAGAGGAAGCATGTACATACATGTGTGTGTGTATAATATATATATATATATATCTCAAAGTGCTTCTGCTGTGAAGCAAATATGGGGTTGGAGATTACAATTGTATTGTACAATGTTTTGATCACTGCTGTGATTTGTTAATATGCATAGCTGGATCTATATAAAACCTAGCTTGGTCTGCATAGATAGTCTGTAAAAATAATTCCAGTAAAAAGAATTAAGCAACATGTAAATGTTTGGGGACACTTTAAAATTTATTCAAATATATATAACAGGAATATATTAACGTCATCAAAATGTTCAAGAAGGTGACTATTTCACTTTGACGAGTATTCTCTTTCCATAGAGCTAAATTGTACGTTAATGGCTCTAGCATTGAATTGTACAGTTTCCTAAATCTTGCCTGGACCTCAAAGAAAGGCAATAGTACTGCTCGGAATTCTAGGGAGAATTTCTAAATTTCTAAAAACAACATAACTGGCCGGCAGCATTTGGCAAGCCTTAGTAGCAATGAACAGCTCAAAGGTTACCAAACCATAAATCAAGGTTTCTGATCTAAACAACTAAATCATCAACACGTAAATGAGTACTATCTAATCTCATGCACTGGCCTGATAACTTCACTTACTAATTGTTAAGAAGATGAGTGGTTTACAAGTATTATTTCTTTCCCCGTTTATATGTGCATGATCTGTCTTCGTCAACGATATACCTAACGAAACTTAGAAAAATGGAGACACCAAGACTTTCCCCGTCTATATATGCATGATCTGTCTTCATCAACGATGTACCTAACGAAACTTAGAAAAATGGAGACACCAAAAAACCAAGGCTTATGCATTACCTTTACGAAGTTAAAAGTACTCAATTAAATCAGCAGAACTAAAAATATTCTAGAATCCAAATATTCGAATGCAACTTCATCGGTTGTTGGAGGTTGGTGGTGGTGATGGTGGTGGTGGTAACCTCCTTCAAGGAACAAACACAGATCACACCAACCATAAACTACTAATAAGATTTTCAATTAGTAGGCCCTACTGCATCCACCTCCAGTACGGATTATTCTTACACTTATATGAAACTTGCACAGCTAACCTTATCCTTCTATCTACCAAACACATCAAACATCAAAACAAATAGAGAGCAAAAAATATTATATATTCTCAAGCAAACAAAACAGACAAGAAAGCTTTCTTTGATTCTTTTTAATATCTTAAGCCACCTGCTAATTACTAATTTTAAACTCACTTGATTATCTACAAACCATGTACATATACGCATCTAAAAGGTATTAAGAGAAAACATATAGTCACACATATTGCTGACCCAAAAAACCAAAATGATTGATTAGAAAATAAGCTGATGATGATGATTGCACAACACAAGTTTTAGCACTTGCAATTAAGCTGATGATGGTTGTACAACACCAGTTAATTCGCCAAAGAAAAGGGAATATAAAGGGCTAAATTTAAGGGGAGAGAGAGAAGGCCAAGGACAAACCAGTGAGAGCCTGTAAGGTGGTCTCAATTTCACGACAGGCCATGACAGCTTCAACAGCGTGGACTCTGACATGTTGTTGAAGCTGGTCTTTGAAAGTACACAATACTATCAAATACTGTGCCTGCAAAAGAAACACACCCCCCATAAACAAGCAAATAACAAACAAAACACCAGTCTTCACAAACCCTCAGAAAAATATATACATACAAATAAAAAAAAGAACGAAAAAATTATGAGAACAAAAAATTCCATCAAAACAGAAAAGAAAGTAGACAAATTTATGGGGAACAAGAACCTACCAAGAAGTTGTCAAGGTCTTGCCTTTCGTGGGGAGAAAGAGAATGACCATGTTGGTTATTCTGTGAAGCATAAGACCTAAGAAGATGATGAGATTGTGATAACTGAGCATCTATAAGTGGTAACTGATCAATTGGTGTAGCTACTCGAAGACAAGACACATGAGCTGCTAATAGCTGCTCGTATAAAGGATGTATAGCTATTTCTGCCTTGAGTTGGCGAAACTGATCACCTGATAAAGACACAGACATTTCTCCACTGCTTAAACCACCAAGTGCACCCCCACTTCCACTTCCCATCATGCCCAAGTTTGGTTCTTGCATTTGTAAATATCAGCTCTAAAGATTCAATCTCTCTGTATAGGAAAGCAAAGTAATTGAAGAGAGAGTGTACAAAAAAAAAAAAAAACAAAAGGGGTTATAAAGAAAGCGAAAAGGATTTTTGTAGTGAGGTTTTTGAGGACCACAAGACTCTTATGCTTTGAGACTGATATGGTGTTTAATGGATGTTGAGAGAAAGAAAGAGCTGAGAGGGATCAGAGAAACAGTGTTTTCTTGTTATAGGCGTAAGAGAGATAGAAGACAGGAAGCGGCCAGTATATTGGGATCTGAGACACAACTTTCTGCACCAATTCTGATATGTTGCAGAAATTTGTACAGACACAGAGAGAGATAAATGAAGACTTAAAAGCATGAAACAGGTGATCGAGAAATTAAGAAAGAAAGACTGATTTTGGTTTTTTTTTTTTTTTTTTTTTCGAGGCTTTGAGAAATTTAAAAGAGAGAAGAGCTATGGAATCATTACTATGAAAGGGAAGGAGTTGGGGGATGGAGGAGAGATCAGATAAAGCTGCTTCCAGTGGCCTGACAATTTTGATTGCTTTTTGTTTCTTTTTATTCAATTAATTAAGCAATATATATATATATATATTTGACATATGTATAAGCTTAACAATAAATCAAAGGGTGGGGTTTAACTAGGTATATGTTAACTAATATATTCTATTTATGTATAGGTTTATCAGAAGAGAATTGGATTAAATAGCCATTAAAAGATGTTGGGCTATCAGAAGATTTAGATTCTTGTTTGCTTGTGTTAATTTTATAATGATTATTGCGATTTTCTTTATGCATTAACCATACAAGGAATTTTTAGTGGACTTAATTTTAAAATTACCACTAATTAAATTACTAGCTAGGTTGAAAATTTAATTAACTCAACTGATATATAAATGTTTTTAAGGCATGCATGGATCAGCACTGATACTTTGGACACTCAATCCTTTTCTTTTCTCATATACAGACAGTCATTGTTTAAAGTTATGACAGACTATGTCATTTTGGATGAGCAATGCTGTACAAAACTAACTTTGGGGGTAATAGGTCTGCATCTATTGATGCCCAGTGTTTATCTTTCTAATCTCTAAACAAAATGGCATTATCCTCCACCTCTCATTCGAATATGTTTCGCATCAATCTCTATACAAACGAGACAGGTTCGTAGCAGTAAGACACCATCGTTCGTGCTCCTACAGTACCCACAATATTTATGAAATCTTTTTTTTTGGAGCCTAGTCTCTGATTTGATAGTTATTACTAGTACTTAATTCAATTACAAAATAATTTTAGGAAGGGGTTAATATATAGTTATTACTGGTGTCTGATTAATATTAATTCTAGGAATGGTTGATAGTTATTACTGGTATCTAATAATATATCTCTTAAATATAATTACATCTAGCTAGGAGAATAAAAATTTTCCATAATACTGGTGCATTAATTACTAGAAATTAATTCCAATGCTCCATCTCAATATCTTCTCCGTTTTTCTTGTTTTATTATTTTTTTTTTTCAAAAATAACTTTCATCTCAATCTCAAGAAAGAGGAAATGGAAATTTAATCCTCTTTCTTCGCAAACCAATACACCCTTTCATAGTATATTTTCCAAAAGTTTAACTCCTCTTCACAACTCAATTTCCAAATCTGCTTAATTTAATAATATAACTAAATCTTATTTTTGTTTTTAAAAAGGAAAAAAAAAAAAAAAAAAGAAAGATCGAGTTTTAATCTTATTTTTACGTACCAACTAAAAATCTAAAAAAAATAATTGAAAATTGAATTTATATATGGTTTTACAATAAATCCAACAACGTGTATACATATTACATTTAAAAAAGAGAGAAATATAAAAAAGGAAGGGAAAATTAAGGATATATAATAAAAGTTAGAACGGACAATATATCTTAATTCCCACCAAATAGCTAGCTAGGTAGAATAATGGAAGGGGCTACAAGGATGCTCCACTTGACAAGTAAAATAAAGGGGCACCCCTTTAATCACCAACCTTTTTAAACTAATTTTAATTAATTTTGTTATTTAAGAAAGTCGGCCTGAGGGTTGAGCTGTCAGTGTTCAGCCTCCATTGCTGCTGGTGCATCGTTTCTTTTTTTCAGTAGTTTTGGTCTCCTTTCTACGTTTATTATTAAATTTGGTATATATTAATTAATTAGCTACCTAGAATTATTGAAGGGGCAAGAAGAAATGTAAGACACCCGTCTGTTTGTTAAGACACAAGTAGTGACCAACCACCAAATATTTGTGTTGGGTTGTTGTGTGAAATGCAGGTATAGTTGCTGGGGCCCAGTAGTTAACAGCAGAGGGGACTTGAACATGACCTATGATGGGATGATTTCAACCGTTCGATTGATTGGTTACATCATTAATTAATTAACATCATTTAATAAATAAGACGTTTGATATATTTTTATGACACAATGGACCAGCCCATAATTAATTAAAAAAATATAAGGGGATCCATAGTATATACATATATTCTCTTTGTTTTTACATCCAAATATAATAAAATATGATGAATATTTTTATCATATTCTCTTTGGTTTTACATCCAAATTGAATGTTTTGTTGGAATCAAGAAAGCCAGCTGGCATTTATCTATTTCAGCTACACAAGTTTTTGATCAATTAAGTGATAAAATGTCCCATTTTTGTGGAAACTATGTACGTATTCATTTCTCACGAGTTGAGATGATTGCAGAAAAGATTCTTTTGTATTGCTTTTCACATTTTTCTCTTGTTTGTCGATCTCCTCTTCTTTTCTTTTTTTCCCCCCTTCATTGCGTGTACGTAGAATGTAGTCCTAAAATCATCAACTTTTGCCAAGGAGTAATGACCACTCTTTCCTTTTTTTTTTTTCAACAATGCACGCATTGTGCTTCTAAAAGTAATTCGGGAGCCATTATTAGGGTTTTCTTTTGCCGATAATTTGTTATATCATCTCCTCCTCTTTTGAACAAAACCCTAAGCTAATTTCAAAAATTAATTATACGCTAAAAGTGTAGGCATTTTATTTTGAAAATTAAAAACACGAGTGTACTATTACATTTTATGAAGTCAAGGAAATTTATGCTATAAATTAGAACACACAATAATTAATAAATATTAGTAGGTAATGAATAAATTTGGTTTTTTTAAAAAAAAAGAAAGCAAACAAAATTATCTTCAGAAAAACCCAAACAGGATTATTGAAGTTAATGCATCAGGATCTAATTCTTTCTCTCGCTCTCCAAAAATTTAAGCCAGTTTTCAATGGAACAAACCACCACTTATGAATATGCTTTTAAGTGTTAATATATAATAAAGCAGCACTTGTGGACTCTTCCGTCAAAGAGTCCAAATATAGCAGGCTTTACGTACACCAATTAAAAAAAGAATCATATTTATTTAATCAATTGAGACAAACTTAGTTCATAAACTTAATAAATCACAATTCAATAGGTGTTAGCAACTATTATCTCTAAATTATACACTACCAGAATTTAGATATTTAGCGATGAATTTCTCTGTCGTTATACGTTAAAACTCTATCATTATATATTATTAATAACGGATTAGAAATAATATGGATTATAATATTAATATAATGATCGTTATTTTTTTATCGATAAAAATTTTTTTATGTCACTAATTTGTTGAATTTCTATCATTAAATCGATTTTAAAAACTCGTCTATAAAATCATATATTCATTATCAAACCGTCGTTATTTCTATTTATATCCATTGTTAAATAGTAACAGAATGGCTTTGTTATATATGGAATGACTTGTAAGAGCTCACACTCAAATATATATGGAACACCTGCATGCGTTACAGCCAGTAGATTAATTAAGATTTCAAATCCAAGAGAATGTGTATAAATACGTAGGTACAAAGAAAAGCAATTAAAGAGTTAATTAAACAGCGGGGGCTGCATTCACAATCGCCACGCTCTGAACTTGCAACAAAATAAAATAAAGTTTGTTTGAGATGTGAAGGATTAAATGAAACATGTGCCCCCAGAGAACCAATGGGTGTAGATATGACAAAATCAAATATCATAACGTTCATCCATTGATTTCGTTAACGATTTCCTGATTACGACAGTAATAATTATAAAAAATGATGATGATGATTCGATTTTTTTTTTTACTTACATGTGCTAAATTTAGTAGCTGTTTGTGAGTAGGCACATGTAATTGCAATCATTATGCAATAGCTGTAAGCAGGATCTGCGTTGATGAGCTTTTAAGGGGTATCGTTAGAAAGAGAAAATTGCATTTCTAGTCATTAATTAATTTCAAAATCAAGCATGCTTGGGGCGTTGAGCAACATTTAATAATATATATATATATATATATATATATATATATATATATATATATATATAACAATGAATTATCAAATACACACGGCAGCCGTCTCTCTTTTTTCCTTTCCATACCATAAAAATAAAAAAAATACTTGATGACACCATAAGGACAGACACTATTTTTAAAAATAAAAAAAATTTAAAAATAAATTTAAAAAATAAAAATATTAAATGACATAATATCATTTTAAAAAATAGTAGCATTGGAAATCAATATAATTTTTATGTCTCAGAGTGCTAATTTTCTTTGACTTTTCACACAATTTAAGAAAAATATTAATTATCATAACACATCAGTTTTTTTTATATTTACTTTCCTAAAACACCATTTCATGCTGCCAAATTTGAATTTTAATATTTCTAAAAAGATATGAAGATTATTTAGCCCCTCTAAAATCAGGACATTAAATTAAGATATTCGCTCCTCTTAAATTTAGATTGAAAAACTTTTAGAAACATCATTGATGAATCCTAAATTTTCTATAAAATTTTAAGCTAAAAAATTAGTTTAAAAAACAAAGGGCCAAATCAAGATTTTTCATCCCTTCTAAGTTTAAATTGAAAATTTTTAAAAAGATTTAGAGAACATCAAGCCTTCCTAAATTTATCATGGAATTT